ATTTGTCCTCTAAATGAGCAAGGGGAAGTCATTAAAGGGATTTAGATGGGAAAGCAATAACCTGATTTGCACTTCAAAAAGATAACAAGTCTCACTCTGCTCTCCCCCTCATGCTCAAGCTCAGTCTCTCAAATAAATAACCTTAAAAAAAAAAGAGAGATAACAAAAGTGGTAAATTTTACAATGCAAGTAGAAAGCAAAGGTATTTCTTAGTACAATTAAATTTAATCTTTATCTCAATTTTATGATGAACAGGATATCAGGTTCTTTAAGGGGCTCCTGACACTTTCTTTTAGTATTCAGTATATCGGATATAGATCTTCTATGTTTATTTGCATAAAAAATTACTTGTGAACTTTCTTCCTGCTACCCTGAGAAGTCTCTGTGAACTAAAAACATTATTTTGTATCTTCAGGCAACAAGCTTTGTGCTTGTTGGCACAAAGCAACAACTCAGATCCCCAGACTGTGCAGTTCAGCGGTTTGAGAAACAGATGTTGTTAAATGGTTAATCATTTATAAGATTGTTTTTTAAATGGATCAACTCTGAACATGAATTCGTTTGTTTTTTTTTTTTAAAGATTTTATTTATTTATTTGAGAGAGAATGAGAGACAGAGAGCACGAGAAGGAAGAGGGTCAGAGGGAGAAGCAGACCCCCCGCTGAGCAGGGGGCCCGATGTGGGACTCGATCCTGGGAATCCAGGATCATGACCTGAGCCAAAGGCAGTCGCCCAACCAACTGAGCCACCCAGGCGCCCCATGAATTCAAGTTTTAAAATGGTCAAACCCCTAGTACTTGTTATAAGTTAAAACTATTAACTAGCTATAAAGTTGATACTAACATTATGAGAGTGTTAGAATAAAAACACTGTGTGTCCACAGATTCCCAATGCTACTGCTTTTCTCCTTTCTACTAGCCACAGAAGATTCAGGAGGTGGCAGTGATGACAAAAAGTCCAAAACATGTCTCATGTTATAATCTGACTGGTTGAAATTTCAAATATTGTTTCTACTTTTGAAGAAAAACAGAAAAAAACAAAAGAGCTTCAGCAAACTTCATTCAGCACACCATCAACTAACAGAGTAAGAGGATCTTCAGATACGCTACCCTTATGACCACCAAAAGAAAATATATTGCTAGCTTGAAAACCCTGAGCGTAAAATAAAGTTCAACAAAAATATAAAATATAAGATGAAAATAAGTGCATTTTTGGTGCCAATTTGTTTTAAACTAAAAATATGTAATCCTGAAACCAGTCACCAATTATTTTTTTAAAGATTCTTATTAAATAGTATTCATTTGCTAGGGCTACCATAACAAAATACCAGACTGACTGGCTTAAACCACAGAAATTTATTTTCTTACAGTTCTGGAGGCTGGAAGTCCCAAGATCACGGTGTTGTCAGGGTTGGTTTCTTATGAGGCTTCTCCCCTTGGCTTGTAGATGCCCATCTTTTCTCCTACCCTCACATAGTCTTCCCTCTTGTGTATCTGTGACCTAATTTCCTCTTTTTTTAAAAAAAATATTTTATTTATTTATTTGACAGAGAGAGAGCACAAGCAGGGGAAATGGCAGGCAGAGGGAGAAGCAGGCCTCCCGCTGAGCAGGGAGCCCAATGCGATGCCGGGCTCGATCCCAGGACTCTGGGATCATGACCTGAGCCTAAGGCAGCCACTCAAACGACTGAGCCACCCAGGAGCCCCCTAATTTCCTCTTATAAGGACACAATCATATTGGATTAGGGCCCATTCATATGATCTCATTTTACCCTAATTAACTCTTTAAATACCCTATCTCCAAATATAGTCACATTCTGAGGTACTGGGGTGTTGAATTTCGACATGAATTTGGGGGGGTTACATAATTCATCCCATAACATTAATAATCGTAATTCATACCTCAAATTCCTTCCTAAACTAAAAATCTCTCATCTACACATCTTAAAGAGTAAATACAGTATAGAATTTATATCTGTAAGTACTATACACAAAACAAGTAATAGGATGTCAAATGTTATTCCATCTGAAATGCTCTTCATCTCTTTTCTCTACTTTTTATCCTTGATAATGGAAGGATGAAGACCACACTGCTTTTGGGAGTTTATGTCTTTGTCCTATGCCCATCCCTCTCCACAGTCTGAAAGCAATTATTATATGTATAACAAAGAATATTTTTTAATATTTTATTCTTTTCATTGAAAGAGTAATCAGTTTATAAGACATTCCCTGGATAGTCCTAACGTAAATTAAATCAGCTAATAAATGTTATCCATTAAGCATGTGATTTGATTATGCAAGAATTTTACTATCAAAAGCAGTTTAGAAGAACTTCAACAGAGGTTATTTAAAAAAAAAAATCACTAGAACCATCTACCATGCATTCTAAATATTGTTGTGTCAAGAGAAACTAAGGATAGTCAACTATTACTACATGGTGGACGTTTGGACATCAGAGAAATTTAGGATTTCTTCCTTATCTATAATCACAGACCAAATAATAATAATTATGCCCTAGATTCTGCCACAGATTTTATCAAAAGGTATCTAAATTTTAATGAATCAAACTGACAAACTATGAACCTCAAATGTTTTGTTATACAGAAGATATCGTCCAATTTTAAGCAGCCAGGGGAAAAAAATCACGATTTGTTGTATGTTTACAAGTAAAAATTATAAGATTTAGAATCAGGATTGCTACTTTCACATTAGAATGTAAGGTGTATGAGAGGAAAGATGCGCCTGGTACAAGGTAGGTTCTCAGTGAATATGAACAAATATTTTGAATAAATGTCATAACAAACAGGTATAAATGAGGAGTGCCTGTAAGTTTACAAAATATCTTTAGGGGGGAAAAACTCATTCAATATATACATGCACATGAGTGTTGTCTATTAAGTCATTACCTTAAGTGATACACGCACACCTTATTTTCCATTACTTAAAATAATTTTGAAACTCCATTTTTAGGATTAATTTAGAAACTGCCTAAGAAACTTTCCTTTAGGGGCTCCTGGGTGGCTCTTCGGCTCAGGTCATGATCCCAGAAAGCCCCCACCCAGCCCTGCTCAGGGGGGAGTCTGCTGCTCCCTCTGTCCCTCCCCCTGCTCATGTTCTAATACATAAATAAAATCTTAAAAAAAAAAAAAAACCTCTTCCTTTATTTGGACCCCAAATTATCAGCTCAAACAACTTACCCTCCTCATTCACTAGAAAGCAAATTGAGGAGCAGAGATGTGCTGTTATTGATGGTCTGCACAAATAGGAACTTTGCTTAACAGCAAGCAGAAGAAAGCATTAACTTTATATCCCAAACGGTGGTCCACTGAACACTACTGACTGCACTATAGCCGAATATGAGATAGGTCTGTTGGGAAAATTATCCTTTAAACTCGCCATCTTGAGGCCTTTTCAAAGACTCCTTAAAAATATGACTTCAATTATGTATGAATGGATTAAGTGTTGTGATTATATATAATGACCTAAATTTACTAATGAACCTAATGTCCATAAACCATACTTTTAATACCAAATACATGGATCTATTTTAAAGGAGTCTAGCTTTTTAGTTATCATTTAATTTTACAGGAATTTTATTTTCTGATGATCACTAAACTGTGAATATATTTTTATCATAAGCATGTTTTAGCTACATATATACTAATATCAGTTTGCTGCTGGATATTTCAACACTTTTTCCTTAGAAACCAAGATTCCTTTTTATTCACCGTAAGTTGTGAGATTAAAAAAAATACAATTTTTAAGAAAATAAGGGGATTTAAAAACAATGTTCAACGTTAACAAACCAATACTGATTTACTGTTTTTTGATGGTTTAGAAATGACTGCATAATTATTTCCTAGATAGTTCCTTTGTAGCAACATCCAGCATAGTGCCTCACATATAATAGAAGCCTGATAAATATTTGAATTAATGAATAACAACTATTAAAAGGAATATCTCTGATACTAACCATTTAAAAATAAGACACTAAACTACTTATTCTGCAATTTAATGCCAATCATTCCATGTTTAAATGTCCTTTAAAACAGTATAACAAAATAATTGAAATGCTATGATTGCTTTCTCCAGGCCTCTCTTCACTAAATCATGCATCTTCTTAGCCATCTCTTCGCTCTTTACAAACATGGGTTAAAACCTTTTTTTAAAAAATCAATAAATCCATTTGAAAATTTGATGAAAACTATGGACCCTTTTCCCCCATAAATACACATAATCACACAAGTTCACACACAGATTCTAGGAGTGCTTAGATCTTCTAAAGCACATCCATTGACTCTGAGGGGTATGATCAGCAAAGTAAGAAGTTACATTTTATAATATATCCTGGCATATAAGTATATCCATACTTGTGTGACTGTATCTGAGAAACGATCTAGCACATATTATTATTATTCAGTTAAATTGTCTTATTATAGAATCCCTCTGTTGGAGAGTCAACTTTCGTGAACCTAATCTACTGTTTTAGACTTCTGGGACCTCATTTGCCGTGCCCTGCCACTCCATGGTATTAATTTACTTTATAATGAACTTCTCACACAGTGGGAAGTCAAATTTGATTATAACAAAGTCCCTTAAGTAGGATAGGTGAGAAGGAAGAGAAAGGTAAGCAAAGGAAAAAAAAAAAAAGGCAGCTAAAAACAGGTGGTAATGGGAAAGTAGGTGCTTAAAAACAGGGGTGCCAGCGTATCAAAGGAAAGGAAAGGTGAAGACATAATGAGTCTATTTTATAATTTTTGTGAGACACCAATAATTCTAATAACTTAAACTAACTGAAGCAAGGGAAGATAAATATGAATGAGTAAAAACAACAGCAAAAACCCCTATAAAATACCGGCCCAGTGGCCTCTCTGTACAGCGTACTAACTTCATCCTCCAGCAGCTACAGATGGAGCAGTCGTCGACAAGCAACTGAAAAGATATAAAGGGATGGGGAAGCATGTCTCCAAAAGAACTGAAAAACTTCCAAAGCAGCTGACATCTTGAGAGTAGTTGGATTTTTATTTCTGAAGATAAACCACTCAAGCTGCAACTTGTAGATAAAATTTTTGTGAAGAGCTTCAAAGTGTACTTTCACATTAAGGAATGTGGGCTTCTCTCTTCCATCTCACAGAAATAAATCTTGAAAATAGTCATCAAATTCTTCTTCTCTATTTAAAAGAAAAGGTATACATATTGATTAAAATCAATTACAGAAAAAAAATTAGGTGACACATTATATATAGTGATTAATGAAAATAAAATATTTTAACTCAATATAATTTGCTAATTTTTCCATATATTGATATTTTTCATGATTCAGCCATCAAATAATTCTTAGCTTTTGGAATAATCATAACTATACCCAAACTGATTAAATTTAAAATGTTTTATATGTTGCCACCCCTTCCTAAATGTATTTATTACCCAAGATTTTACTTTAAAGTACATACTTTGTGAAATGTTACTGCTTCTCTACTTTTCTGGTTGACTTTATAATTTCTCTGTTCATTCTCATTTCAAATTAGTCTGATCAAGAATGAATGAAAAAGAAAACTATTTTCAGGAAAAATACAAGTCTTACTCCTAGAAATGGGGAAAATCTGTTTAGGCTATAGGTCTTTATTGCTCTGGGAATAGTAAATATATATTTGTAGCAGTAAATATCATGTCTAAAACAATGAATCAAAGTCTGAAAGAAGATACTAAATTGTATTGTAATGTGTTAAAACACTATGAAAACTGTCAAGTACTAAATAAATATTAGCACTAGGAACCAGACTGATACAGAAAAATACCACAGGGTTTCAAGTCAGACAGTGTTTAAGTTCTAGTTCTGTCACTTATTAGCTTATATGAGCAGGTTACTTAACTTCTCTGGGCTCAGTCTCCTTGTTTGTACAAAGGAGAACATTGTATTTCCTTACACAGGTGCTGTGAGGATTAAATACACACACACACACACACACACACACACACACACACACACAGAGTTGCTTTTTTTCCTTCTGGGACAGGGAATCCAGCGGGAAAGTCAAATCCAGTCTACCAGTCTCTTCAGAAAAAGTTCTTTTAGATCAGAAATTCACAATGGGACTCCATTATTTGGTTTTAAATAACTGTGAATGCACAAAGCCATTATACCCATGTTCAAATTAAAAAAAAAAAACTACAGAATCAGATAAAGTTCGTTTAAGAATTATCTGCAATTTGGTATTCCCCATGCTATTGTCCCTTTTCCCCCAACATGACAGCAAAATGCAGTGAAATTTTTAAAACTGTAGTAAGAACTTAAATATAGGAAATTAACTGAATCTCTATGTAGGCTCAGATGTTCCATACTTGATCAATGTCAAGTATTTATAAGGTCACAAAAAGTTCTGGATGATAAGAGTCTTTTTTTTTTTTTCAAAGATTTTATTTATTTATTCGACAGAGAGAGAGACAGCGAGAGCAGGAACACAAGCAGGGGGAGTGGGAGAGGGAGAAGCAGGCCTCCCGCAGAGCAGGGAGCCCGATGCGGGGCTCGATCCCAGGACCCTGGGATCATGACCTGAGCCGAAGGCAGTCGCTTAACGACTGAGCCACCCAGGTGCCCCTGATAAGAGTCTTCTTAGAAGGATTTACTCAAGTATCTTCACTGCCTAAAATGGTGAGCTGATCCTAAGACCTATTCTGTCAATTTCAGCTATAAAGCTCTTCAATGGGAAGTTATACCATTAAAAGTTTAGTCCATAGTTTAACTAGGATAGCAATATTTTATTTACAGTAATAACTTTTTTATAATCTGATCTATAACGACCACACTTTTAGGAATTCTTTACTTGGCTGGAAAAAAAAAAAGTGATCTTGTTTAAAAAACCTCTTTCCAACACACCTGAATTCTACTACACAGAGAACATACCATAATTAGCAAGATGTTTCATAATCAGCTTAAATTAATGAATTGTGATTGATTCAATATTATGAACCAATATGCCTAAAGACTAACAAAATGGGACTAAAATTTATTGAGCACTTATATTTGTAGGTACTGTACCAAGTGCTTTACATTCTTTATTTCATTAACTCTTCACAATAAACTCTATGCAGTAGGTATTTGTTTTATCCTCTTTTAACATATAAAGCTCAGATGCTAAACATCCCAGTATATGACAAGAGCTGATAAAATTCCAGCCCACATCCAGACAGCTCTTCCAACCCAAGGCAGATAACAATATGCACACTGAGTTATCTGTCTTTGGGGGGTTAAGGTAGTTGTTGGCAAGTAAACTTTTACCCGTATATAGACAGCTTCAAGGGGCTCCCTGTACACGTTTATGATAATCAGAATATCAAGAATAGGCTGCTCTGGAACCAGTAAACAGCCTTTCTCTGAAGGATTCTAAGCAAAGACCAGAAGGTCACTTGTCAAGGCAAACTGAAGAAAGATTTACTCACTGAGTGGAAGCTGGATGAGTTAACTGTTTATGGCCACAAAAATGACTGGGAATAAACTCTGATCTTACCAGGCTAGGCAGTCCTTGGCATTAAACAAACATTCATGATGATAAGCTTTTCATTAATTGTTATCAAGAATGGCTGTGGCTGTGGCTTCTCTACTGATGCAAAGGGTATGCATTATCTAGTAATATCAGGACTCACTGTGATTTTTCATCTGTTTCTGGTAGGGGGCCCTTCCAAAGTTCAGATTCTGAAGTACCTTCTTCTTCATCAGAATTTCCTGTTCATTTAAAAGAGAGTTTTTAAAATGTATTATATTTAAAACTTATTTTGAACTACCCACCAATGCAATTAAATTAACTTCAGATTTAACTGCAGTTTAGTTTCAACTTTTATGCCTCTAAAAATGTAATTCACTCTTTCAGACCAATAAATTCTTCTTAAAAATAAATAAGTTGAGATATACCACAGAGTCTCAGCAAAAAGACCAAGGAAAGTCTCATGGGAAACTCCCCTAAGTTACACTGAGTTAAAGTGGCAATTTCAGTATTAACTCTTATAAAGGAAAGATCTCTTGCAATATAATTGCCTTTGATTTAGTTTCTTCTTTCTGTTGGCATACGAAAGACATGCAGGTTAAGATTTTTTGTAGAGTATATTTACATTAAGATCAAGAACTCAAGAACTGAACTAATAGGTAGGACCAGTTAGTTAAATCATGAAAAAATATTGTCAGACGCTTTTAAAAATTGATGCTGATTAAATTAATCAGAAGAAGCTGATTTCAGTAAAGAAATAGGCATACTCATACACTGTTAGAGAAGTAAAAATTCTGTAAACTTTTTTCTTGAGGAAAATCTAGCAACAAAGATCAGTTTAAAATATACATATCCTTTAACCAGCAATGCTGCTTTTAAGAATTTAATTATTTACTTAGAATAAATACGCACCTGAGATACATGTACAAAGATGTTCATTATATAACAACAACAACAACAAAAGAAAACAACCTATACCCCACAATTAGGAATCAAGGATTGGTTAAATTAATACTATATAGCTGTTAAAAAAAACCTTAGCATGTCTATAGTATTACCATGGAAAAATGTCTGTGCTATTCCAAATTTTTTAAAAGTTAAAGCATGCATGGTATAATCTGATTTATGATTACATATGTGTGTATATATACTGTAAGTTTGTAAGGACCAACCATACTTAACAGTAATTATATTACCTGTGGCCTGCGATACTTTCACTTTCTACTTTAAGCATTTCCAAATTTCTTGTATTTTAAACAATGATCATGTATTGCCTTTAAAAATCAGTCAAAACAATAAAGATATTTCTATTTTTAAAATATAACAAAACAGACATGTTTTAAAAATCACCCTATATTAGTGAACTAAAAATTATCAAATACTGAAAAAGATATTATAGGGCAATAAAAGTATATGCCATAAAGTAATTATACTAGCAAACAGTTCCTCTCCAGTAAGTTAGTCTCAGAAAGAACTGACACAAATTCAGCCTGTCAATACAGAATGTCTCTTAACACACACAAAAAATAAAACAGCATTGATTTGCCCACAGTGTTTTTAGCCTTTTACCTGTTAGACTTTGACCTTGAATCAATATGCATGTCTGAACTTTGGTCCTAACTGCATCTATTCTGGCACGAAAACTAACAAAAATGGCAGGAAAAAAAAAGGAGAGGGGTTGTATTTTGGGGGGGAGCGGAACAGGGGGAGAGAGAGAGAATCTTAAGCAGGTTCCATGCCCAGTGCAGAGCCCAACATGGGGCTTGATCTCACAACCCTGAGATCATGACCTAAGCTGAAAGCGAGAGTTGACACTTAACCAACTGAGTCACCCAGGCGCCCCAGGGGTTGTATTTATAATGATCTACATACAAAGACAATAAAAGATGATAAAATTATAAAGCCTTGGGAACCAGATTCCCACTCAATGACAATCAGCACTGAAACTGCCAGTCTCCCAAACTGAATGTGTGAGAAGAGAGAATAAAAGTGTTCTACTCTTATTTTTATGAAAACTCACTAACATGAGCTAAAGAAAGCACGGAAAAACTAATGAGGCCTAATAGTTAACATGACAGTGTTACCCTGTTAATGATGTCAAAGAACAAAACCTGTAAGATCCTTGAAAGCGGGCAGCTAATTTTAAAAGGCCTTACAACCATCTGTATTCTTGTTCCCTTTCAAGAGTACCTCCCACATGCCACCTTTCCTACACGTTTTCGGATACTAGACAACCCACTTTTACCAAAAGATCAAATCTGTTCAGAATATTATAAAATAACTCTCTTTGAAAGATCATATGCTTAAAAAGTAGCCAAATACTGTCAGAGATTCAAAGCTAGAAGACTGGACTACGTTGTGAAACTATAGCATCCTAGTCCCCCGAGAACGGCAATGAAGAGAAACCATTGCTGTGGTAACTGCCACAGCCGGCCGGAGGGGGAGGAAATCACAATGAGCAGAACAGGCAATACCAACGGGTGCCCTGGCATCAGTGTCAAAGCTACGCAGTAGTTATTAGAGAGCGGGGATCGGAATGGGCATCACTGACTCTGTGCGGGATCTTGCAGGTCTATAAATCTAGCCCTTATCAAATGATTAAATCTCTTACTGCAACATCTCCCAGGACAAGTGGATGTCCAATCTATGCTTAAACACCTCACTACTTCCTGAAGCAGCCCATTCCTCCATCCCTGTCTTCAGATAGTTCTAATTGACAAGTTTTTCCTTAAATTAAGGCAAAAATCTGTCTCTGGGCAATTTTTATCCAGAGACTCTAGTTCTGCCAAATAGTCATCAAAAATAAGTCTCCTACACAAAAGCAGTCTTTTTTTTTTTTTAAGATTTTATTTATTTATTCATGAGAGACAGAGGGAGAGAGAGAGAGAGAAGCAGAGGGAGAAGCAGGCTCCCAAGGAGCAGGGAGCCCGATGCGGGACTCGATCCCAGGACCCTGGGATCATGACCTGAGCCAAAGGCAGACGCTTAACCATCTGAGTGCCCCTACACAAAAGCAGTCTTACAAACATCTACAGTTTCCCTGTCTACCTCCTTATCCCTCCCCTTCCATCCCTACAAGTTTCTCCAAACTAAACATCTATATTTCCTTCAACCTTCTTCCTATGACACAAATTTTCAAGTTCTGTCAATGCCTTGGTTATTCTATTCTTGACCTGCTTTAAGTTTTCAATGTTCCTTTCTAAAATGCAAATTGCATATAATTTTCCCTATATGTTTGAATAATGAAAACAGATCTGTCACCTTGGTTTTTCTAGATATTATATGATACCTAAATAATCTGGGCTTACTGAAGAAGTGGCAAGTCTCCAGTTATGATAACAAATGGACGGGCCAAACTTTTACAGACTTAACTTTTGATTTGACCAATTCTAGAGAACAAAACACAGAATCTATTTAATGTGTGTTTTTTTTTCCTTTCTGTAACAATGATAACAGTTACAAGTTATCAAGAAGTACTTTGTGTTGGGACATGTGCTGTACATACATACTGTCTCATCTGGCTCTAATAATAATAAAACAAAGTGAAGTCTCCTTATACCTACCTTACATATAGACCTGAGACAGATCAAATCATTTAATGTAGATTTATAGAATGTATCTGCCCAAATTGGGGTATAAAGAGTAGACTTACATTTGATTCACTGAACAGTTATTGATGATATAGGTAAAGGGGCACAGACTTTGTGGAATTATAAATCTGTGTTTCATCCACACTCTGCTATTAACCAACTACTAGATCTCTGGCATTTTATGTAAATTCTCTGGGTCTCGGTTCTCCTGTCTGCAAAATGGGATATTGCATGCCCATTATTAAGATTAAATAAGGTAATACAAGTAAACCACTTGCCATTTTGGCTGATAGAGTAAATCATCAACAAATCCAAGTTAAAATTCTTTTCCCCACAGAAATTGGGTTTTTCTTCATAGATTTAGTTTTAATAATCCATACGTTAAATGGTGGTAAAAGGGTAACTGAACATTATCCAAGTGGAAATGAAAGATACACACACACACACACACACACACACACACACACACACCTTCAGGTAAAAGGGTAACTGAACATTATCCAAGTGGAAATGAAAGATACACACACACACACACACACACACACACACACACACACACACTACTTCAGCCCAGATAGCATCTGGCTATGTTCTAGAAACTGTCACTACACTTCACCTAATTTAGGAAAAGGAGCTACAGATCAATTAGGATTCACATGGGAAGAAACAAAGCATCAGTGCTTTAGGACACTTCAAATAAGCTGAAAACAAAATTGGTATGAGCAAAATAATTTATAAGGAATATGCTGTATCCCTAAACTAGAGGAATGCCTCCACTGACACCTCCTTCTCCATTAAATCTTTGAACAGTAAATATCTTAAAACGTCTCTTTTTCTATTTCTCACAGTGCAAAATTTCTGATTACTGACTACTCAGAAATTCTCCTTAAGAATTATATTAAAATGCTAATAATGTTTCTCTTTGAATGGTGGGATTTGGAGGAATTACTATTTTTTTCCCCTGAGTTTGCCACAGTAAATATATATTACTTTAAATCAGAACAAAAATTAATGCTTAAGTTTACAAATTTCCAAGCCTAGAAGTCTCATAAAATAAGTCCAGATATTATAAAATGAATTAGAAAGGCTATTGAACTACACGTTATCATTAGCCCTAACCCTACTGCAAGTCTTTAAGAAATCTGACACTGTATTACTATTGAGATGCAAGGCTACTGTTTGTTATCTCACAGGTGGATGCCCCTTTTATGAGCCCACGGGAGAGTCTGCTCTCAGAACTCTGACTGGAAAAAGACGAATACCCTGCATATGATTATATGGGTACAATTAATCATTCTACTGGTGGTTTCCCTCTTTGGTTTGGTTGTTTAGAAGAACAGTGACAAATGTGTGCTCTACCTTTGTAATTATGCAGGACTTTTTAGTAAACATTTATGTGTTAATTTTACCTTTGTTAATTTTAAAAATTAACAAAGTAAATAGCTTTACTTTGCTATTCTATTTTTCCATTATCCTGATTTTACTTTTTAAAATCTTATTTTATTGTATTTATAAGTTATTTGAATGTTTTTTGGAATGTTGCAGGGGAAAAAAAATCTGTGGCAAATATCGAATAAAATCCAATCTGGTTTGATACAATCTGGTGAAAACCACAGTACTTATTAAAAAACTAACCAGTAATAACCAGTTGCCAACATTTTATTTTCCATATACAAACCACACATTTCATTTGATCAATCAAGATCAGCAAATAACAGAGATTACTCAGTATACAATATAAGCAACATTTCCTAAATCTTAATCCACTTCCCTAATTATTTTTCCATTCCAACCTCATCCTTCTACTTTTCTTCCTCATATTCTATAAAGTGAAATTAAATTGTATATCCATTGTATTTACTGAAGAAATTTTACACTCTTCTATTTTAAAATAAGAAAGTTTAAAATGTTCAAAATTGGGGAAGAAATCATACACTTTTGGTATTTTTTTCTATGATTTTTTTCCGTAGTACCAAACCAAAAAATAATATATCAGAGCAAGTCACAACTGATGGGAAACCCAAACTGTGAATAACTTGAATCTACATATTTTTATTAAAGAAATACTAGATACTTACTGTTTACAGACTTTTCTGACTTCTTTGAGGATGAATGCCCTGAAAAGAAAGCAGCATTGTTTTGTTAAAAATCATTTTGCAATGGTGCAACAGTTATAGCTGTAACTAGAATTCTTCCTAAGAGTCTAGTTTACTTTATAGTCTTACAGAAAAGCACCTCACTCTTCTAATCTTTCATGTTCCTCAGACTTATCTAATTAAAATGTTAGGTTCTCTTAGGCAGAGGTATTTTATGCCTGGAATACATAGCACAATGTGCAGCTTAAAAAATATGAACACCTGTAAAAAAAAAAAAAATCTCATGTTGCTAAAAAAAAAAAACCTCATAGATTAGTTGCAATTTAACCATATTTTATCTATAGATGTTCAACATCCGAAAGTAGTTTGTAAATACTCATTTTTCATAATACTTTTTCATATACAGATGAGAATTCTTAGTAACTAAAATTCACACAAATATTACTTGACAAAACAAAGTTTCAGTTCTACAAGTTATCCAGTCAGAGAAACAGAAAGAAAAAAGTACTAAAAATCTACTAACGTAATTTTTAAAAATCATCACTCTACAGAGTCTCCTGTAATAAGACCACAAGGGAAATGATTTTGAAGGCTGGTAAATCAAAAAAATGATAGATAGGGCGCCTGGGTGGCTCAGTTGGTTAAGCGACTGCCTTCGGCTCAGGTCATGATCCTGGAGTCCCAGGATCGAGTCCCGCATCGGGCTCCCTGCTCAGCAGGGAGTCTGCTTCTCCCTCTGACCCTCCCCCTTCTCATGTGCTCTCTCTCTCTCTCTCTCTCATTCTCTCAAATAAATAAAATCTTTAAAAAAAATGATAGATAACAGATGGAGAGTACCAATTCCTCCAACTTCCTTGGATTGGAGATCTCATAAACCAAAGCTGGTGCATACATGGCCCCTTTCAAGCCCAATGAATAGGGTGTCAGAACCACAGGGTAAAGACTCCACAGGAAGCCAAGGCCTGGACTGCAGCTTTAGGTCATTGTTCCTTTTTTGTTTTGTTTTTAGCTTATTGTTTCTTCACTCCGATTTCCTACTCATCAGAAAACAAATAAAAATATAGCTAAGCCGGTGACAAAATTCTTCTCTGTCATATAAGGAACATAATACCCGTTTCCAAATGTCTATAGGTAAAAAAGAGGTTAGGTTTACTTTGGAGGCCTAAGGACATAACTGGAACCAAAGGGAAGAAATTGTAGATTTGGGCTAAATTAAAGAGATACCTGCTAGCAATTACAACTAACTGAAATGTAAAAGACTATTCAGGATGGTAGTTAAGTTCCTCTTCCCTGGAGGTGCTGAAGCAAAAGCAGAACAAGTACCTGATATAGAGCAGTACATCTCAAACTTTATGGTGCATATGAATCATCCCAGAACTTAAAATGCAATTGTAATTCAGGAGATTGGGGAAGGGTCTGAGACAGTGCATTTCTAACAAGTTCCCAAGTGATGACAATGGCAGACAACCATACTTTGAAAAGCAAAACCATAGAATATCTTTTTGATCATGATCCCAGAGCTGATCTCTGATGTTCCTTTCAACATTGAGAAACTGTTGTTTCACTGATTCACTCACTCACCTCACATTTACTGAACACCTACTATGTGGAGAAAGCACTGTGCTTAGAAACTGGAGATAAAGAATTAAATAAGTCACACAGTCCCTTCCTTAACAGAAAATAAGCAAATTATTCCAAGGGTGATTGATTATGTATCTCTAAATAAGTGCAGGGTGCTACTGGAATGTGTAACAGGGACCTAACCTTGCCTGGAGGAGTGGGCTGAAGGGTGTCAGCAAAGGCCTCCCCAAGGAAGTGAGCTTGGGGATGCAGTGGTAGTGGTGGGAGTGATAAGATCCTCAACTTTTGGCCAAGACACTCTACCTAAGTACCTTGATCTGCTCAGACCTCCCAAAGTGGACTGGTCCTCAAAGTCAAGCTATTGGTCTTTCTTACATGTTCTCTCTATCCATTCATTCAGCCATCTAGCTATCCAATTATCCATCCATCCACCCACTTAGTTTTTGTATGTTTGTAAACTGACACTACAGGAGTAGGTGGGATCATACAGGGAGAACAGAGAGAAAGAAGAGAAGTTCAGTAAGAGCCTTGGGCAACTCCAACATCTAAGGGTAAGACTGAGAAGGACCTATATCAAGAGGCAGAGGAGAGGCCACAAAGATAGGAAGGAAATCAAGAAAGTAGATTGTTTTTAGTTTTGTCAACAGTTCAAATGCAGCTGAGATATGAAGCATTTATTAATTACTATTCAAGTTTGGGACAAACTGAGGTAGTCTGGCTATAAAGTATCACATCAAAATCAAGCTAGTTCCAGATGATCCCAGATACAAAGATATTACAGAGTTCCACATGGTTTTCTTAAGTTTGCTAAAATGTCATTTGCTTTACACCATAGAAGTTGAAAAGAAGAACTTTATCCTGTACTCTCTGCTATCAAAGGTGCTCTAAATAAAGAATAAATGAGAAACAGTTATCTCAATTCCACTCTGCTTTAGTTCTCTATCCCTGAAGTTGTCATGAAACAATCTTCAAAGTCTTTCATTTCCTCATTCTTTATTACTTATACCTTACATGTGCTAGTGGGGTGCTGGGGATACTAATTAGAAGTTCTAATTTAAATTCATGGTGAGGGATGGAATCAAGAAAGGATCAGTGAAATTTAAACTTAGACCCAGAGGATGAGTTAGGATGGGACCTGGCAGTGGGGGGCAGGGGGTTGTAAAGAGAGGAAGCAGCATCTACATAGTCCCTAAATGGAAAGAAGTTTGGCATTTTCTAGAAACTGAAAGGCTGTGAGCGTGGAGTGAGAAAGTGAGGTGGAGTGTGGCGAGAAACAAGTGTTGTATGATGGATCACACAGAGCACCTGGGCTTTGTGCAGATTTTGGTAATATCCTAAGAACAACAGACAATCACCGCTTTATTGAGAATGCCTTAAGGGGAGAGCAGGTGGGATGACAAGACAGTGGCAGAAACAGAAGACAATATAGCAGTAGTCTAGATGAGAAAACATGGTGGTGTGAATTAGGGTGGAGAGAATTCGAGAAATATATACCTGGGGGTAAAACTGACAGGATTCGATGACAAATTAAACATAAATAATGAGAAATAAGACATCGAGCATAATTTCCAGATATCTGATTAGGTTTTAGGTTGACAGAGGTGTCATCTACTGAAATATGGAACACTACAGGGAAAACATCTATAAGGAAGATCACATGCATATGTATGTATAATCTGAGGGTTCCAACCCCATACCCGATCCTGAGTATCCAGCTAATTGTCTGCTTTGAAGGTACTAACCAAGATTTTACAAGGTAGGAATTATTCTTTAATTTGGAATATGTAGTGATCCACACGGTATCATACTATAAGAATAAAATATTATATAATACAATAACGAATACAAAACTCTCAAGTATGATACATTAAACATTTTTAAAACAAAAATTTTTCGGGCACCTGGGTGGCTCAGTCGGTTAAGCTTCTGCCTTTGGTTCAGGTCATGATCCCAGGGTCCTGGGATCAAGTCCTGCATCAGGCTCCCTGCTCAGTAGGGAGTCTGCTTCTCCCTCTACCCCTCCCTCCTGCTTGTGATCTCTCTATCTCTCACTCTTTCTCAAATAAATAAAATCTTTAAAAAAATAAAAAATAAAACAATAAAACAAAAATTTTTCAAACTCAAATGGAATTTTCACATTTATTAATTAACATATATTTTAGAGTTGGGAAATGATTTAGACACAAAAAGGCATTCGGCTTCAAATACCATTTCTCAATAAACAAGAACAGTATTTTCCTCTCACCATCTATCAGTTTCACCAAGTCGAAAACTTGGTGATACTATATGCTTGAATAGGTTTGATTCACTAGAAAAAAGTATATATAAGAATGAAACCTAGCTAACAATCTTCATAGCTGGAGCAAGGGAGCCCTCTCCTGTCCAAATACTGTGTTAACATTTGGCTGAATCTAATGTAATCTACCATTAACTACATAATTTAAGTTTGATTCACTCTAAGTTATAGCCAATTTGACTCTATTATGGACTGAAAAAGAAACTAGCAGTAACCTTCAAAATAGCTAACTATGCACCAAGCACCATGCAAACTGCTTAAATCCTTTATCTCCTTTCAACTTCTGAACAATCCTATGAGCTAGGAAATGTGAGCATAAACATTTCACACATGAAGAAATTACGGCTTAAGAGAGCTTAAGCACTAATGAAGAAGAAGTAAGTGACTGACTGATGGATTTGAATTTAACAATTATTTACTAAGTGTATGTGCACAGCACCATGCTAGGTTCTGAGGACACATGCATATCAAGCTCCATGATTTCAAACTCATAAGCTAGTGTGAAAATCACATAGGCCATGGTAATGAAATCCCAGTGTTATAATTTTATACTGACTTATAGATTATGTACTGTTTTACAGTGTTCAAAATGCCTTTCACATTCTTATTTGGTTCTCCACAATAAGCTCAAACAGTACAGAAGCCAGATAGTCACATCACCCCTACTTATATGAGGAATATAAAACTGAAGAAGTTCAGGGACTTGCTCAAGGTAATGAGTCTGTAAGAGACAAAATGAGGAAGGAGAATGTTGTTTGCAATATTATTACTATCTACCTAAAATGAATTAAAACCAACCTTATTCTTGAAACTCTTATAAGCTGCTGTAAATTTATATCTAAATTCCCCAACCAGGGGGTGCCTGGGTGGCTCAGTTGGTTAAGTGTCCAACTCTTGATTTTGGCTCAGGTCATGATCTCAGGATCCTGAGATCAAGCCCTGCATCATGCTCTGTGCTGTGCTCCAGCTCCACGCTGGGCATGGAGCCTGCTTAAGATTCTCTCCCTCTCCCTCTGTTCCTCCCTGCTTCTCTTAAAAAAAAAATCTTATAAATTCCCCAACCAGTTTCAGCTACTATAAGATTTATTTTTTATTTGAGAGAGAGAGAATGAGCGAGTGAGGGGGGGCAGACAGAGATGGAGAGAGAGAATCTTAAGCAGGCTCCATGCCCTGCACAAGGCTGACCTGGGGTTCAATCTCACGACCCCAAGATCATGACCTGAGCCAAAATCAAAAGTTGGACGCTTAACCGACTGAGCCACCCAGGCGCCCCCCTCTTTCATCTAGTAAAAAACAGAAATCTAAATGCATTCACCAATTAAATCCTACATTTGACACATATAGCAGATTACATTTCATGTTAAAAAATGTGAGGGGGCGCCTGGGTGGCTCAGATGGTCAAGCGTCTGGCTTCGGCTCAGGCCATGATCCCAGGGTCCTGGGATCGAGTCCCGCATCGGGCTCCCTGCTCCTTGGGAGCCTGCTTCTCCCTCTGCCTCTCTCTCTCTCTCTCTGGCTCTCATGAATAAATAAATAAAATCTAAAAAAAAAAAAAAGTGAGTAGGGGGGCGCCTGGGTGACTCAGTCATTAAGCATCTGCCTTTGGCTCAAGTCATGATCTAAGGGTCCTGGGACTGAGCCCCATGTCGGGCTCCCTGCTCAGTGGGAAGCCTGCTTCTCCCTCTCCCACTCCCCCTACTTGTGTTCCCTCTCTCGCTGTGTCTCTCTATGTCAAATAAGTAAATAAGATCTTTAAAAAAAAAAAAAGTGAGTAGGTTATTATATTTTAATTCCCTTGTACCTTTTTCCTTTTTCTTAGAGGTCTCTTCTGCAGAAGATAATCTGGATTTTTTATGTGATGACTCTTCATAATCTTTTTTGGTTTTATCCTTTCTTTTTTTTGACTTGACTTCTTTTCTCCTTTATGTTGAACAACATAAAATTAAAGTTAACTTTTTCAAATGACCTTTATGAGAAATAAGGAACCAATAAGCAAAGACGTCAAATCAGTTAGAGTAAGTACCTTATTTTTACAATGTAATTTACATAAGAAAGCCTTAAATGAGTCTGTAAATATTTTAGGTTAGTATATTAATTAAAGACAATTCTGTAAGATAATCAAGCCTAAAATTCTGAAACAAATTATTTTTTGTAAGTTCTATATAAAACCTTAGTAAATATAAATCATAGTTTTACTCATTTCCTTCTTTTTATTTTCTATCATTTAGCCATTTTTTTAAATTACAAAAACAAATGTCATTTCCCTCCATGTAATTTATAGCTACCTATACTTTGAAAAAAATACATAAAATAAGAAGAAACACTGTAACAGCTCTAAACCACCACTAAGTAGAAAATTCTTCTGTTAAGAATAAAAGAATACAGTAAAAAGGCATAAAGGAATGAGGATGGACGGCCTCACTGTTAACTCAAATGTCTACTTTAGACCATTTGTCCTTTTACTGCTGTAGCTTTATCTCTTCTAGGCCAGGTTTACAATGCTGCCAGTACCATGGTTGGCAAGTAATTGATTTTAACTGGTTAAGAAAGGAAATACTAGATAGGAAAAGGTGATAACGCTGAAGTTAGGACCAGGAAAGAGAATGAAAGGACAACAAAGAGGTTCAGTTTCCAGAAACTTGCTCATCAGACTTCCCAAATTAAGGTACTTATACCAAATGCTGTAAGATTATTTAAGGTAGTAACCACTTTCGGCCTCTCTTAAGATTCATTTCAATTTTGAAATGAAGCTTGAAAGTCAAGGTCAAAAAAACTCTCTGGTACCTTTCAGTATCACTGATGGAGAGGGGAAATAAAGGTTAGGCTATCTAAGTAATCTAAAAAACTCTGCTAGTTTCAAGAATTTAAAAATTAATTACTTAATATTTATTTTTAATAACTAAAATACTAAAGCATATTTATAACATAGCTGATTTTAAAATTAATATACTGACATATATATTTATAGTTGCAGAATCTCACTGTTATCACAATAATGGCAGGTCACAGATTTTGTCTGAACATCTTCAATGCCAGGGACCCCATTATGCTTAACTTCCCGTATGCCAGGCACTATGTCAAGCACGTTACATGTACTTTCATTAATCTCCACAATAACCTTGGTATCTTCATTTTTAGAGGTGATAAAATTGAGTTCTACAGAGTTTAAGTACCTTGCCCAAAGAAGACAACTAGCAAGTGGTGAAGCTGAGAGGAACACACAGGTGTCTTGTTTCAAAGCCCATGATCTTATTTATATATACTGCACATTGTAGAACACTGATATTCCTCCCCCACTCAACATGACAGACACATTCTAGCTCACTTAACAGGAGCCTAATTTTAACATCTGAAATGAGAATAAAGGTATATAATTCTGTGTAAGAATGACAAACTCCAAATAAAACACTGTTAAAATGAGACATAAGTGATACTCTTAGTGGAAAACCCAAAAGACTCCACCCCCAAATTGCTAGAACTCATACAGGAATTCAGCAACATGGCAGGATATAAAATCAATGCACAGAAATCAGTTGCATTTCTATACACCAACGAGATAGAAGAAAGAGAAATTAAGGAGTCGATCCCATTTACAATTGCACCCAAAACTGTAAGATACCTAGGAATAAACCTAACCAAAGAGGCAAAGGATCTGTACTCAGAAAACTATAAAATACTCATGAAAGAAATTGAGGAAGGCACAAAGAAATGGAAAAACATTCCATGCTCATGGATTAGAAGAACAAATATTGTGAAAATGTCTATGCTACCTAGAGGAATCTACACATTCAATGCAATCCCATTAAAGTACCATCAACTTTTTTCACAGAACTGGAACAAATAATCCTAAAATTTGTATGGAACCAGAAAAGACTCTGAATAGCCAAAGGAATGTTGAAAAAGAAAACCAAAGCTGGTGGCATCAAATTCTGGACTTCAAGCTCTATTACAAAGCTGTAATCATCAAGACAGTATAGTACTGGCAACAGACACATAGATCAATGGAACAGAATAGAGAACCCAGAAATGGACCCTCAACTCTATCTATGGTCAATTAATCTTCAACAAAGCAGGAAAGAATATCCAATGGAAAAAGGACAGTCTCTTCAACAAATGGTGTTGGGAAAATTGGACAGCCACATGTAGAAGCATGAAACTGGACCATTTCCTTACACCATACACAAAACTGGACACAAAATGGATGAAAGACCGCAGTGTGAGACAGGAATCCATCAAAATCCTTGAGGAGAACACAGGCAGCAATCTCTTCGATCTCAGCCACAGCAACTTCTTGCTACACACGTTTCCAAAGGCAAAGGAACAAAGGCAAAATGAACTCTTGGGACTTCATCAAGATAAAAAGCTTCTGCACAGCAAAGGAAATAGTCAACAAAACCAAAAGACAACTGACAGAATGGGAAAAGATATTTGCAAATGTCTTACCAGATAAAGGACTGGTATCCAAAATCTATAAAGAACTTAACAAACTCAAAACCCAAAGAACAAAATAATCCAATCAAGAAATGGGCAGAAGATATTAACAGATATTTCTGCAAAGAAGACATCCAAAAGGCCAATAGACACATGAAAAAGTGCTCAACATCACCTGGCATCAGGGAAATACAAATCAAAACCACAATGAGATAGCACCTCACACCAGCCAGAATGGCTAAAATTAACAAGTCAGTAAACAACAGATGTTGGCGAGGATGCAGAGAGGGGAACCCTCCTACACTGTTGGTGGGAATGCAAGTTGGTGCAGCCACTCTGGAAAACAGTATGGAGGTTCCTCAAAAAGTTGAAAGTAGAGCTACCCTTATGATCCAGCAATTGAACTACTGGTATTTACCCCAAAGATACAAATGTAGGGATCCGAAAGGGCACCTGCACCCCAATGTTTATAGCAGCCATGTCCACAATAGCCAAACTATGGAAAGAGCCCAGATGTCCATCGACAGATGAATGGATAAAGAAGAAGTGGTATATATACACAATGGAATATTATGCAGCCATCAAAAAAATGAAATCTTGCCATTTGCAACAATGTGGATGGAACTAGAGGGTATTATGCTAAGTGAGATAAGTCAATCAAAGAAAGACAATTATCTTATGATCTTACTCATATGTGCAATTTAAGAAACAAGGCAGAGGATCATAGGGGAAGAAAGGAAAAAATGAAACAAGATGAAACCAGCGAGGGAGACAAATCATAAGAGACTAAATCTTAGGAAACAAACTGAGGGTTGCTGGAGAGGAGGGGCCTAGGGAGATGGGGTAACTGGGTGATGGACACTGGGGAGGGTATGTGTTGTAATGAGCACTGGGTATGATATAAGACTGATGACTCACAGACCTGTACCCCTGAAACAAATAATATATGTTAATTAATTGAATTTAAATTAAAAAAAAAGAAATGAGACATAAGAATCACTTTATGAAGATCTGCTTTACAATACAGTTTCTAAGAATATTATGGCTTCTGAACATTGACTCCAAACTAAAAATTCTAGCATCTATCTACCACCCTGCACAGGCTGTCATGTTTAAAACTGCTTGGCTAGGGTACCTGGGTGGCTCAATTGGTTAAGCGACTGCCTTCGGCTCAGGTCATGACCCTGGAGTTCCGGGATCGAGTAACACATCGGGCTCCCTGCTCAGCAGGGAGTCTGCTTCTCCCTCTGACCCTCTTCCCTCTCATGCTCTCTATCTCTCATTCTCTCTCTCTCAAATAAGTAAAAATCTTTAAAAAATAAATAAATAAATAAAACTGCTTGGCTAGGGGCGCCTGGGTGGCTCAGTCGTTAAGCATCTGCCTTCGGCTCAGGTCATGATCCTAGAGTCCTGGAATCGAGCCCCGCATCAGGCTCCCTGCTCAGCAGGAAGCCTGCTTCTCCCTCTCCCACTCCCCCTGCTTGTGTTCCCTCTCTCGCTGTGTCTCTCTCTGTCAAATAAGTAAATAAAATCTTTAAAAACAAACAAACAAACAAAAACTGCTTGGCTAGAGTAAGGCACGGCAAACTTCCAGTTCCCCAGTATATGTGTATGATGTATCACACAGTAATGCCAGATATTCTGTATAATCAACTAATTAAACCATCAACCACTCAAGTCCACATTTAGACATTCAGTGCAGGTAAGTGACTATGTCCAAGACTACTAAACGTTAACAACAGCATTTTAAAAGATAATATTACCTGTGATGAAAATTTAATTTAAAGGAACATTCTTGGCATAACCCTAAAAAAAAAAAAAGTGATACCACTTAAAGGCTGAATTTGAATTAACTGTACCGCTACTCTACCTTTAATATCATACATTCTTATTATTCCTCATATCCCTTTTTTAGAGTATCTGAAAAAAAAAATCTGATTCTCTCCACCTCAAAAAATGCATATGCATAATAAAAAGGGTAACAGAATGCTTGAGGAATAGAAAATATTCTAACATTACTTTAGAAAAAAGTGCTGTCAATTTATTCTAAAAGCAAACTCTATTCCATTTATAGCATTAATGTGTGTCTCACATCAAAGATATCTAATAACAACAGTGTGGGTATAGTCACTTCCTCTGAAGTGCTTTCAGAGTTTTCAGGTAGAAGAGAGCTTTTCAGGAAGTTCCACAGTTGTGGCCTCTTCTTTTGCCTTAATCTCAGTTCACACCAATTGACTTTTCCTCATGAGCACTTCTAGGAGGAACTTCTGCATTGGTGTGCATTAAGTAGCACATGAGGAAATTCTTGACTCCTATAGGGAGTAGGCAGAAAACTCTGAAGCACATTTATTTAGGACCCAGAGAAGGTTGCTAACATGATGGACCGAGGAAGCTGACACAGATAAGACTAGCTTAATTTATGGGAAAAAAAGAAAAAAAGAAAGAACAACAGATTCTAAAACATGCATATTAACAGAAGCTGCTGCACTCTGGGGTATAACCTTAATAAGCTTTTAAGACTGATATCAAGAACAATTATGCCATCCTAAAAGTTTTTTCTTTATTGACACAAAGAGAGGGTATTTATTGTCCACACCACAACAATATGGCTACCAGGTAACATGAGATTTTACGTTGCCTTTTCTGATACTCCGCATCTCATTCTGCATTGGTGACATTCCCACGTTAGCGGGAAGAGGTCTTCACTTTACATATTGTAGGTTTACATTTGGCATTAGAACTGTTTCACCTAAATATCACCATAATACTGAGAATAAAAAATTATAGGCTAAAAAGTTATTTGTCACTTTGGGAAACTCAGAAAAAAGAGCACTTCCAGAAAGATAAATTTTTTTAATTAAATTTTACTCTCTATATTTTTAAATCTAAATTACTAGATAAAATTGAAGAAATCTATTATATCCCACCTAAAGCCAACTTACTTAATTTAACAAGTGCATTTCTCTTCTCACCATGCTCAACATAACCAAAGTTAACTTCCCAACTCTTCAAGTCTTCTTTTTTATCACAACATTTATTTCCACAGAAAAACTGGCCTGCAATAAAGAAAGGAATATTAGCTATGATAGTTGGTGACAATGTTTACCTGTACAATCTGGAATTACTCCTAAAATTTACTCTTGACACACATAAATTCTTAGTTTTAGGTAGTCAGTATTAAAAAATAACTGAGCATAATAACTATAGTATGCTCAACAAATGCATATACAAGTATTAAATCAAAAAACTGAAGAAAAGTTTATTAAAAAAAAATCAGTCACAGAATTCTTGCTCGATAGATACACCATATAGATCAGGGTTTCAGTGACTCCCTGGTTAGGAAATCTTATACTTTGAAAAATGGAAGTACTAAAAATACATACTCAATAATACCCAGAAAGAATAAATATATTTCCATAGTACATGTACTTACACCTGGGTGAATCCTTTTAATATTTAATAATAATTTTTAAATTGATTAAAATTCTTATTTTAAGTATTAACATTATGGTTTCTATTTTAAGTACCAGCATAAAACGGCACTTAAAGCACATTTTAAAATAGTAGCACTTTGAAATGAAGTAGAGTAAGTAATTAAACCCAATGCTCTAAACTTTAGAGTTACCGGACACTAAAATCAACACATTATCATGTCCACTGTATATTAAAACATTCTGCAAAAAAGGACTAACACTGATGATCTGTGAGAAAAAATAAAAGAAACTACTCAACAACTATTTACTTTCACAGCAGAAGATGAACCTTGTATTTGTACAAACAAAAAAGAATTTTTATCTCAATAATTTGCACCAACAGAAACAAATCTAAACTTTTCATAAAAAGAAATAAAATGAATTTTGAAAATTATCAGTCCAAACAACCTATAACTTTTCTAAACTGGCATTTTTTTTACTCATTCCAAATGAATAGTTCATGAAATCTGTGCACGTTCAGTAATGGCTCTATTTTTAAAACAGCAACAAAATTATGATTCTAAATCAGAGCAATAGCTTTCTCTTACCAACTAATCCTTTTTTTCAGTTATAGTAACTTAAAGAATGCTCATCAATTTTTTTAAAGGCAGCATTACTTACCATCACCTGAAAATTCCATTTAATAAAAGTATGAAATTTTAAAACTGTGAGATTTTCAAAATTTCTCATTATTTAGATAAAAACACAAACTAAAATGTAATACTAAGAAAAGTTAAAACTAGCTTTAAATTTATTCTTTTTCCTTCTCCTTTAGAGTATCTTCAGGGCTGATCCTTCATCTAAAAAAAAAAAAAAAATCCTATTCCTTAATTTTATTTTATTGCAAATCCAGTTTTATACTTCACACAGACATCCAATTTATGGAAGATGTAAATGATCCACAAGGATGGCATCAATGTTTAATCATTTTAAAGTGCAACCTTTATTTTCAGTTTAAAGGTTCTTTAAGTTATTAGTTTAAAATTATTTCCTAAATGCTCTTTTGTAGTTTTCAGAAGCATTAACACTTTAAAATGCACTTATCAATAAAGAGCTTTTATATCATAAGACAGTACAAAGATATTAATTTTTCAGAGATTTATGAGTAGATTACAACAATGCATATAAAAAGCATTTATTGATTGCCTACCAAATGTTTGATCTTTTGCCATAAGACTAAATATTCAGGCTCAATCTCAATTACATCCCAAAGTAAGAACTAGCCTGTCCAAAAATTCTATTAGTTTCAAAGTGATATTTAATCTCTACATTCAAAATCTGATTAGACTGGAATACAGTAATACCAACTCATTATTCTAAAAGTTGATAAAAAGAAAAACTCAAGTATTCATCCTTTATTAGTCTGATTTAACTCTTTAAACATTTTCTACTTAATCTCCATTGAATACTCTAAAAGCAAAAATATAAAGGTAAAAATCACTAAAGCATTATATTTTGACCTTTGCTAGTAAAATATCATGAATACATTGTCTCTAATTTTACTTTTATAGATAACCATTTATTGTATAATGAAGAATAATCTTACCCAATGACTTCAATAATACAACAAAATAACCTTATCCTATTAAAAAGTAAAATTTCAAAAAAGAATTACCTTTTCCTGAAATTACTTCTTTTTCTATTCGCCACCTAAATCCAAACTAATGAGAAAAAAATTACATTTATGCCAGTGTAAATTTAAACACTATTTAAACTGTATATACATCTAAACATACAGCCAACAACTGACATGACATTTACCAATCTATAAAGCAAACCTAATTCACCAGGAAGGGAAGATGGCAGCAGAGTAGGACCCTAGGCTTGACTTGTCCCATGAATACAACTAGGTAACTATCAAGTTATCCTAAATACCCCAGAAATCCATCTGTAGACTGGCAGAACAAACTTCACAACTAAAGGTTAGTTAGAGAAGAGGCCACATCAAAGTAAGTAGAAAGTGTGGAGATGTGGCTTTGGAGAGAAACAGATTGTGGCTGGTGGGGAGGGAGCTATGGTCAGGGAGAGGGGCGAGAGACAGACTAGCACACGGGGGAGCGCGTGGGGCAAATGAATCCACATAGCAATTGGCTTGGAAAACAAGGGAGGCAAAATTTGGTGAGTTCTTGCAACTCCAAAAGTCTGGAGTTTTAAAGGTCAGCATGCTTGGCTCTGGCACAACTTGGAGGACATTGGGGCTGCTCTTGGACAAAAGGCAGGTCAAACACCCCATGGGTATACAGCATAGAAACAGTGATCTGAGGAGTGCCTGGGGCACACAGTGCAGAGGTCAGTTGCTCATCTCTGAGCATGTCCCAGAAAGGCAGTGTTCACAGAAAGACCCCTCTGGGGATAAAGAAACTGGCCAGCACCATTTCCCTTCCCTGCCCCTCGGAATAAACACAGGGCCACCTGTGGAAACCAGTGCAGTGCTGACCCTCACTATCTAACCTGCTTACACCAAGCCCTACCCGTCCCCATGCTCCAGAGAATCTCTGCTTCACAGGCACACTTGCCTCTGTCCCAGCACAATGGGCCCCCTTCCCCAGACAACTAGCCCAAACCCCTTCCACACCATGTCTCCCTACCAGGGAGTCTTGCAAGGCCTTGGTTCTGGTAATGTCAGTGACAGGTCTCATTTCACAAGCAGACCAGAGCATACCTAGTTAAAACGTACCACATTCAGGTCAGAGACCAAACACTGCCTATGACAGGCAAAGAGAACCTTTGCAGACAACTGGCCTGAAAGATAAAGCGGCCAGGACACAAAAGCAGAGTGCATGTAGTACACCCAGGAGACACTCCCAGAAGCACCAAGCCCTGGAGAAGAGGGGACACTACACTGCAGGGCACTACAGGACCTCTTCTTCATAAAGCCAGTACCCTCAAGAACAGGAGACAGAGCTGACTTTCCTAACACACAAACAAGCACAGAGACTTAGACAAAATGAGAAGACAGAGGAATTTGTCCTAAATGAAAGAACAGGACAAGGTCATAGATGGAGATCTAAGCAAAACAGATATAAGTAACATGCCTGATGAAGAATTTAAAGCAATGATCATAAGGAAACTCACTGGACTTGAGAAGAGTGGAAGGCATCATTGAAACACAGAGATAAGGAATAACATAGCAGAAATAAAGGGCTCAATAAATGAAATGAGAAACATTCTCGATGGCATAAACAACAGGCAAGAAGAAGCAGAGGAACGAATTAATGACCTAGAGGACAGAGTAGTGGAAGGTAATCAAGATGAACAAAAGAGAGAAAAAAATTATGCAAAGTGTTAACAGACTTAGGGAACTCAGTGACTCCATCAAATGTAGTAACATTTGTATTATAGTAGAGTCCTAGAAGAAGAGAAAAGGGGGCAGAGAATTTATTAGAAGAAATAATAGCTGAAAACTTCCCTACTGTGGGAAAAGAAACAGTTACCCACATCCAGAAGGCAAAGAGAACCCCCAACAAAATCAACAAAAGCAAACCCACGCCGAGACATATTATAATTAAAATGACAAAATAGACTGATAAAGAAAAAATATTAAAAGCAGCAAGACAAGACAGTTACACACAAAGGAAACCCCATAAGGTTATCAGCAGATTTTTCAGCAGAAACTTTCCAAACCAGAAAGGAATGGCATGATCTATTCAAAGTACTGAATAGAAAAAACCTACAGCCAAAAATACTCTATCCAGCAAGGCTACCATTCAGAATAGAAGGAGAGATAAAGTTTCCCAGGCAAACAAAAACTAAAGGAGGTCATGACCACTCAACCAGCCTTGCAAGGAATATTAAAGGGGACTCTTTGAGAGACGCCTGGATGGCTCAGTCAGTTGAGCGTCTGCCTTCGGCTCAGGTCATGATCCCGGGGTTCTGGGATCGAGTCCCAAATCCAACTCCTTGCTCAGCAGGGAGCCTGCTTCTTCCTCTGCCTGCCATTCCCCTGCTTGTGCACTCTCTCTCTCTCTCTCTCTCTGATAAATAAATAAATAAAATAAAATAAAAAAGTTTAAAAAAATAAAATAAAATAAAATAAAGGGGGACTTGGGGCGCTTGGGTGGCTCAGTCATTAAGCATCTGCCTTCGGCTTGGGTCATGATCCCAGGGTCCTGGGATCGAGCCCTGCACTGGGCTCCTTGCTCGGTGGGAAGCCTGCTTCTCCCTCTCCCACTCCCCCTGCTTGTGTTCCCTCTATTCGCTGTCTCTGTCTCTCTCTGTCAAATAAATAAAATCTTTTAAAAAATAAATAAATAAATAAAGGTGGACTTCTTGAGAGGAAATGAAAAACCAAAAATGAGAGTATGAAGGTAGGAAACACAAAAGCAGTAAAAATGAATATTTTGAAAAACACCAGTCAAGCAACTCACAAAATAGCCACAGCAGATAACAAAAAGAAATAAAAGGCATCCAAATCGGTAAGGAAGAAGTAAAATTTTCACTATTTGCAATGATATGATACTAGATATAGAAAATCTGGAAGACTTTACCAAAAAATGACTAACTGATCAACAAATTCAATCAAGTCTCAGGATATAAAATCAAAGTACAGAATCTGTTCCATTTCTATACACCAATAATGAAGCAAGAGAAAGAGATATTAAGAAGACAATCCCATTTACAATTGCACCAAAAATAATATGCTATCTAAGAATAAACCTAACCAAAGAGGTGAAAGACCAGTACTCTGAAAACTAAAACACTGATGAAATAAAGTGAAGAAACACAAAGAAATGGAAAGACATTCCATGCTCATGGACTGGAAGAACAAATATTGTTAAAATGTCTATACTACCCAAAGAAATCTACACATTTAATGCAATCCCTATCAAAATACCAACAGCATTTATCACAGAACTAGAACTAACAATCCTAAAATTTGTGTAGAACCGCAAAAGACCCTGAATAGCCAAAGCAATCTTGAAGAAGAAAAGCTGGAGGCATCACAATTCCAGACTTCCAAGTTACATTACAAACAGCACAGTACTGGCACAAAAACAGACACATAGATCAACGGAACAGAATAGAAAACCCAGAAATGAACCCATAATTATATGGTCAATTAATCTTTCAAAAAACAGATAAGAATATCTAATGGGAAAAAGACAGTCTTTTCAACAAATGGTGTTGGGAAAACTGGCCAGCAACAAGCCAAAGAATGAAACTGGGCCACTTTCCTATACCATACACAAAAATACATTCAAAATGGATTAAAGACCTGAAACCATAAAAATCCTAGAAAAGAGCACAGGCAATAATTTCTCCGACATTGACCATAGCAACTTTTTTCTAGATAGGTCCGTTGAGGCAAGGGAAACAAAAGCAAAAGTAAACTATTGGGACTAAATCAAAATAAAAAGCTTTTGCACAGTGAAGGAAACAATCAACAAAACTAAAAGGCAATCTATAGAATGAGAGAAGATATCTGAAAATGACATGTCTGATAAAGGGTTAGTATCCAAAATATATAAAGAACTTAAACAACTCAACACCCAAAAAACAATCCAATTAAAACATGGGCAGAAGGCACAAACAAACATTTCTCTAAAGAAGACATACAGATGGGCAACAGACACATGAAAAGATGCTCATCATCATTTATCATGAAGGAAATGCAAATCAAAACTACAGGGAGATATCATATCCCACCTGTCAGAATGGCTAAAAACAACACAGGTTTTAGTGAGGATGTGGAGAAAGGGGAACCCTCATGCACCATTGGTGGGAATGCAAACTGGTATGGCCACTCTGGAAAACAGTATGGAGGTTCCTCAAAAAGTTAAAAATAGAACTACTCTACAATCTAGCAATGGCACTATTTGGGTATTTACCAAAAGAAACAAAAACACTAATTCAAAGGGATACATGCACCCCTTGGTTTACAGCAGCATTATTTACAATAGTCAAGATATGAGAGCAATCCAAGTATCCATCAACTGATGAATGGATAAAGATGTAACACACACACACACACACACACACACACACACACACACACACACACA